CAACTTTATCAATTTAAGATGTTAGTAGGCTTTGGCATAGGCATGCGTACTCTGAATCAAAGTGCTCTCCATACTGCCTCAGCCCTATCTATTCTGCTGTTTCTTAGGAAATGCTGCAATTTGATGCATTTCCCCCCAAATGACCTTCAATCCAAATTAAGAACAAGAATCAGCTAGCTGTGTTTTAAGCCAATAATGTGTACCCACTTTAGGGGCAAATGAAGAAAGCAGTGGGCATTTGGAAATAGAAAATACTGGTCTCCCATTGAAGGTTACTGTCCGAGTGGCTGCTGTATTTATTTATGAAAGCAAATCCTGGGGGGAACCAACCTCGCATGATTAAATGTCATGTGACGTCTAAGTCTATGCTAAGATACCTTACTACAGTTTTAAGCGCAAAAATCATTAGCAAGCAGAGGTGCAAGAAGCACAGGCTTAGCAGATGATAATGTGACTACTATGCATTGCTAATGGCCCGCTCTTGTGCGAAAAGTTAATTGATTCTGATTAACTCGGCAGCTACTAAAATACTTTTGCATTTTGTAAGATTCAGCTGTTGCTTCTTAATCACAGAATCATTTCCTTGGGGTGAGGTGGAAAGACAAAGAGGGAACAAGCCTACAAAAGTTTGCTGGGTGACTCAGGGCATGCTCACACTGCCCCCAGTTTTTCCGTGCGTTACAGAAATCGTGTCCTCCATCATGGAGAGCACGTGTTGCGGTGAGATCACCTAAACTGCCTCCTGGTTGTTGGGGCGGGACTGTTTGGATAGCCAAAACACCCCATTGGATGCCCCTCAGTTGCTGGGGCAGAAATTTGGCTTTTGGGATGGCTATTGGCTACCGAGGGGCTATTTAAGCTGCTGCACGTCGCATGGAGCTTCCACTTGATCGCAATGTATACTGGGTCACCCTCCTTCCCTATATTTAGGGCTGTTCTTTGGACCTTGCTGTGGCTGTCTAGGGGTCATCTGATTTGGAGCAGGGGCCCGGTAGGAATTTTGCCATTTGGCTAATTAGCTGGTGCCACTTGGTTTTTGCCTTGTTTGTTTAGTCATTTAGTCGTGTCCGACTCTTTGTGACCCCATGGACCAGAGCACGCTAGGCACTCCTGTCTTCCACTGCCTCCCACAGTTTGGTCAAACTCATGTAGCTTCGAGAACACTGTCCAGCCATCTCATCCTCTGTCGTCCCCTTCTCCTTGTGCCATCCAGCCTTGTGCCCTACAGTCTCCTCCAGCACCATAATTCAAAAGCATCAATTCTTCGGTGATCACCCTTTCTACCGTGTAGCAAATCGTCACAACTTTGTAAGGCTGTCAGTTAGGCATTGGTTCAATGTTTTGTGGAGGGGCTGTGGTTGGCTGTGCCTGCCCCTCCATTGCTGCTGCTAAGGAATTCCGATAAAGGAATCCAGGGGTTCGCCTTGCTTTTGTCCGAACCATGTCAAGGGGCTAGGGCCACGCCAGAGCCCCTGGGAGCATCTGGGGTGAGCTGTGAGATCGAAGCCAGCTTCTCGCTGCCCCAGGATGCTTTCCTGTACTGACAGAAGGTGGTGCCCAGTTGTCAGTCCTGTTCCTGACACAGGACAGTACAGTAGTCAGGAACCAATACCTAAGCAACCACTCACATGCTGTAATCAATAAAGTTGTGGCCAAAATTATTGCCAAAAACCTTAAACTAAAATTCTGTGTCTATTGTGTATTTATTTGGGGGTGGTTTGCGGGGTCTTCACACGCAAACACACAGTCGGGAGTCTGGCGGTACCTGTTCTCCTGGTCAGTGGAGGCTGATCCATTTGGGTGAATGGGTGTTGTCCCACCAATTTCTTCTTCACTTAGCCAGCCCCTACCTTTCCTGCCTCCTTGTTGTTCTTGTTGTTTAGTCATTTAGTCATTTAGTCGTGTCCGACTCTTCGTGCCCCATGGACCAGAGCACGCCAGGCACTCCTGTCTTCCACTGCCTCCCGCAGTTGGGTCAAACTCATGCTGGTAGCTTCGAGAACATTATCCAACCATCTCGTCCTCTGTCGTCCCCTTCTCCTTATGCCCTCCATCTTTCCCAGCATCAGGGTATTTTCCAGGGAGTCTTCTCTTCTCATGAGGTGGCCAAAGTATTGGAGTCTCAGCTTCAGGATCTGTCCTTCCAGTGAGCACTCAGGGCTGATTTCTTCAGAATGGATAAGTTTGATCTTCTTGCAGTCCATGGGACTCTCAAGAGTCTCCTCCTACATCTAGTTCAGGGGGTGGTACTGCCTTACAGTACTGCCTTAAACCCCATCTCCAACTCCTCGAAAGATTCCATCAACGGAGTCTCCAAATTATTATTTTTTGCACATCTCCTTGGGAAGACAGGTGAACTAATGCCAGTGTACTGGAAGAAGCAAAGATCACCAGTGTCAAAGCAATGATTCTTCAACATCAACTTCGTTGGACTGGTCATGCTGTGCGGATGCTTGATTATCATCTTCCAAAGCAGCTACTCTATTCTGAATTTAAGAATGGAAGCGTAATGCGGGTGGTTAACAAAAGAGGCTCAAAGACTCTCTCAAGGCAAATCTTAAACTGGGAAACACTGGCCTGTGAGTGTTTCAGTTGGAGAACAGCCATTACCAAAGGTGTCATGAGTTTTGAAGATGCTTGAACTCAGGACGATAGGGAGAAATGGGCTAAGAGGAAGGCATGCTTGGCAAACACTGTGATCAACTCCCACCTGGAAACCTATGTCCCCACTATGGAAGGATGTGTGGATCCAGAATTGGCCTCCACAGTCACTTATGGACCCACTATTAACCGTGTTTATGGAAGACAATCTTCCATAGCTATGAGTGATCGCCAAAGAAGAGGAAGAAGACTACCTTACAGTCCCCTCCTTAGTCTCAGGGTTGTTCTTATAGAATTCAACAGGCAGGAGGATGGAGACAGAACTATGATTATTTGGCTAAGCCTTCTGTTAGCTCTGGCACCACCTGCTGTTGGGCTCCTTGCCTTCTGCTCTACCAGTCCCAAAAGGTACCAGCAGCCACTGCACCTGGGCAATGCACACACACAAAAAGCAAGTCTGGCCGTGACTTTGTTCTCATCAGCCATGTGAACAGGTGTGAGGCCGCTGTGCACTAATCCTATAGTTTGATAGAAAGTTTTCCTAAAGCAGCCCTTTTGGGATTCTAGAATTGGTGCAATATAATAGTGTCATATATTTCTGTGTCCAAAGTGAATTTAAATCATATCGAGAAGGCCAAACTCTGAGTTGGTTTGCCACAATACTCTCTTAATTGGTCTGTGTGCACCAGAAATGTGTGTAACTAAATAATATACCAAAATGGAAGTTTAGAACCGGTGGGCATTGAAAATAAATAAATAAATCTGAATCCACACAAAGTCCAGCATAGTTACCATTGCTTATCGCTGCAGACCACATTACGCCTTAAGAATGCAATGCAGGTTGCTATAGGAAATGTAGGCGCTATTATTGTACCAACATAATAGATTTTCTATTCTTAGAATCTTTGCACAGAAAACAAATTAAGTCATTTCGTAGTACAAGATAATAAAAAGTAAAGTATTCCAAAACTGTATTAGAGAACTTGGCTGTTCACAATAATATTTTGTCCTGTAGCAGATCCTAACTATGTTGAAAAATTATCTGCACAGAGCAGAGAGAATGCCTTAGGATAACCCAGATGTGGTGAACCACATTTGGATACGACACAGAGGTATTGAAGAGCAGGTACCCCACCATCCTTTGCAGTATCCAGCTCCTCAGGATGTCCCCTGCCGCTCTGATTCATGAATAATCCAAGAAAGGATGGATTGCCAAACCTATTTGTCATCTAACTCTGGCTGCCAAAGGAAATGTAGGCCTCAATTCACTGCCAGTGGCATCTTTTCTGCACCCTTCCTTGCACAGGTCAAATAGCTGCATGGAGTTATCCAGAGCACCAGCAGAGTCCATTCTGTACCTGGAGGGGAGTAACAGGTTTGGAGTTCTCAAGGAGTCCAGGTAGACCAAGCCTTAATAATCTCTGGACTATATGGAATTGGCAGAAATGACTGGCAGAATCCGAGACCAGGGAGAAGAGTCAGTGGAAGAAGATTGGAAGAAATTTAAAGACTATTTACAGAAATATTGTAAAATTAATGAATGATAGAATGATGTTGGATAGTAATTAAGCTTGTTTCTAGCTGTAATGCTTTATGAGAATATGAAAAAGGGTTATAAATGGGTTAAAATCTAATGGTAAGGATTTGCTGAACCAATAAATTGAAGTGGAATACAAAAAGCGAGGTACAAGGAGGTCCGGGAAACAAGCTAAAGGAAAATAAGTAACTGAAAATATGTGTGTTTTTAACTGTTTTTATTTTGTATTTTTCTCTTTTCTTTTTCATTTTTACTGTAATATTTCAAAAAACCTAATAAACATCTTATTAAAAAAAATCATCATCATCATCATCATCATCATCTCTGGAAAAGCTCAGATCTTCCAATGCCATTCCAGATATCCAGACCAACCCACACTTCCCCAAACTGGCAAAAGGGAGGGTTCTAGCTCAGTTGGTTAGAGCGTGGTGTTGATAGCACCAAGGTTGCAGGTTCAATCCCCATATGGGACACTTGCATATTCCTGCATTGTAGCAGGTTAGACTAGACAATCCTCAGGGTCCCTTCCATCTCTGGAGTTCTGTTATTCTAAATAGAGCTCCCCAGCAATCCTATAGCTATCAATTCTGTATATGATTCACATACTAATCCTTTCTGCTCCCATCGCTTGATTACTTGCTTAATTGTTCACATGTTACACTAAACACAGGTACATGCTTTCTCTACAGTGTTTGTGTGAGGGTATACACTTGTTGTTTGACTGGCTCAGCTATTGTGTCCATGGCTACTCAGATGGTACATTTGTTGAATGTCATGTGTGAAGAGTACCCATTGCGACTGAATGCATGAGCAACTGTCTCCATTGTGACATATTATCTTGGAGGTGTGCAGTGCTGCAAAGGTTCTGTCTGTGGTTCTTCACTTGGAATGGCTCATTTTACATAAGCATGCCATCACTCAAGCCCTCTGCTTACACGAAAATGTTCCAAGTGGCCAGAGAGGACAGGTATGAGTGTGTTAAGCTCTGACCACTTCGAACTTCTGAAGTGGAGCTACTCCTGTACTCGGTGGCGGAGGAACCCTCTCCTGCACCCATGGCGGGACGCCGAGGGGTGGGGCGAACTGCCAGTGATTCACACACAACGTCCGTACGGACTGCACATGTGCGGCATCCTGTACAGAGTGGGCACATGCGACAACCATAAGGGCTGCCACACATGTGCAATCCATATGGGATGCTGCAAATGCGCAGTCCGTACAGGCTGCCACTTGCCTGCGATGGCTGTACTGTACTGAGCGGCATCCTGTACTGAGTGCGCATGTGTGGCATCCCATACGGCATCCTGGTCTGAGTGCGCATGTGTGGCATCCCGTATGGAGTGTGCATGTGCGGCATCCCATACAGAGTGCGAACATGCAGCAGCCTGTACAGTCGCTGTGCTAGAGGCAGCCCATACGGACACCTGTATGGATGGTGCGCACAAGTGACAGCCCGTACGGTTGCCATGCGAAAGGCAGCCCGTACGGACGCCGCGTGAGCGGCGCCCTTACTGACTGTGCATGCCCTCGACCGCTCTACAGCTGGGAGGAGGCAGGGGCCATCTTGTCACACCCCACCCAGAGTGGCACCCAGGGCAAACCACCCCCTCCGCCCCCACTTTGTATGCCCCTGCCTGTACTGCCTAGGGTTTCAGAAACCTGCACAATTCAGGTTCTAAACCATGTAGTAAAAGGTAAAGGTGAAGGACCCCTGGACAGTTAAATCCAGTCAAAAGTGTCTATGGGGTTGCAGTGCTCATCTCGCTTTCAGGCTGAGGGAGTCAATGTTTGTCCACAGACAGCTTTCTGGGTCATGTGGCGAGCATGACTAAACCACTTCTGGCACAACAGAACACCGTGACAGAAGCCAGAGCACATGGAAACACTGTTTACCTTCCCGCCACAGTGGTACCTATTTATCTACTTCCACTGGCATGCTTTCGAACTGTTTGGTTGGCAGAAGCTGGGACAGAGCAACAGGAGCTCACTCCATCATTGGGATTAGAACAGCCGACCTACTGATTGTCAAACCCAAGAGGCTCAGTGGTTTAGACCACAGCAACCCACTGAGCCTACACGACTGCTTGGAGAATCCCCATTTCAGAAGTTCATCATCCACAAGCTGGAAGGTGATAGGGATTGCTCATTCCTGCTATCTTCCTTAGGTTTAGTTTGTTTTGTCCCCCACTCTCCCTGTGCTCATGAAACAATTGCATATAGCTACTGTGTCTTCTGTCTTCAAGCAATAAGGAAGCACATCTGAACAAGACCAGTTCAAACATTGTAACATGGCACTTTGAATTTGCTGTGATTCCTCAATTGAAAGGGGTTCAACTAGATGACCCTTTGAGTTCCTTGGAACTCTACAATTCTATTTTTCTATGATAAAGAAGGCTTGAAGGCTTGGACCTATGAGCTTCATGGAAACGTGCTACTAATATTCCTTATTTTTAATACAAAGTATTTTTTTAAAAAAAAGAAGTAGACTTTCTTTTGTACTGTTTCTGCTCTGCCAGTTTTAAATATCATTTTACTGTGTGTTTGAGATGGTTTTGTTCTGTTCTGGGTTTCGGAGTTCTGAGTTGGGAGTTTCGGCCAAGGAAAGGCCAGCATGTAAATGCTTTTAAATAAGTAAACAGGTAAATACAGACAAATAAATAGAGTGCTAAACTTCCCAATTAATCTTTAAAATGTACCAGCCATGCATGGTATGCAGTTCACTTTCCAAAGATGATCAGTATACCCATCTCCATCATTTATGAATGGCAAATTTGATCCAATGCCATGTTTTCCCCCAGTAAAAGATGCCAATTGTGTATGTTCTCTCTACTTCTCCAGAGACTTTAATGAAAAAGCTGTTTGTTGAAGAGTTTGTTAGTGTTCCTTTGCATAATGCGACTTTCTGAGGAAGATCTGTTGAATATGGAATGAACTAACATTGCTCATAATTACAGCTGTAGGGGGGAAATGAATTGAAATGAGATAACAAAGTTTTCCAATAAGGGTGCCTTCTGTATTACAGGCTTGTATCTACCCAAGACAATCTCCCTCCGCTTTCTATATATATGGTATTCTATATAGAGCTCAGCAAAAGTCCTCTTCTCTTCCCTTTCTGTTATTGCAAAAGTGAGTAGTAGAAGCTATTAAAAAGTAAAGGGTCCAGTCGCAGATGACTCTGGGGTTGCGGCGCTCATCTCGCTTTACTGGCTGAGGGAGCCGGCATACAACTTCTGGGTCATGTGGCCAGCATGACTAAGCCGCTTCTGGTGAACCAGAGCAGCACACGGAAACGCCGTTTACCTTCCCGCCGGAGCGGTACCTATTTATCTACTTGAACTTTGACGTGCTTTTGAACTGCTAGGTTGGCAGGAGCAGGGACCGAGCAACGGGAGCTCACCCCGTCGCGGGGATTCAAACCGCCGACCTTCTGATCAGCAAGCCCTAGGCTCTGTGGTTTAACCCACAGTGCCACCTGCGTCCCTTAGTAGAAGCTATCAAGCACCCACAAATGATGGCAAGTTTGGTTTGGTTTGGTTTGTGAATTGCAAGTTGTGCAGGGGTGGGCGAGTCTGCCAATGTTGGTTTCTCTCAGTTTCTCATTTTGCCATTCTTAAATTCGGCTTTCCGTATTTCTGTGTCATTTATTGATTTGTTTTAGGAGTCCTCATGAAAATTCACCAGCAAATTTGTCTCACATGGGGAGGGGAGGCTCTGGCCACCTGCTTGCTCCACTTCGAGATACTTTACTTGTACTATCTGCCCAATCAAGAAAACATCCCATCTTCTCCCATCTATTTTGCACTCATTTCTACCTTCACCCCATGTCTTCTGTTCCCAGCTCCTTTTGCACAGTCTCCCTTGTACAAAGACCACCCCCATGGAAACCCTCTGCATTGTCCTCATGCATTGCAGCTACTAAGCACCATCTTTAAGGTAAAGGGACCCCTGACCATTAGGTCCAGTCGTGACCGACTCTGGGTTTGCGACGCTCATCTCGCTTTATTGGCCGAGGGAGCTGGCGTACAGCTTCCGGGTCATGTGGCCAGCATGACTAAGCCGCTTCTGGTGAACCAGAGCAGCGCACGGAAATGCTGTTTACCTTTCCGCCAGAGCGGTACCTATTTATCTATTTGCACTTTGACGTGTTTTCGAACTGCTAGGTTGGCAGGAGCAGGGACCTAGCAATGGGAGCTCACCCCGTCGCGGGGATTTGAACCGCCGACCTTCTGATCGGCAAGTCCTAGGCTCAGTGGTTTTACCCACAGCGCCACCCGCATCCCCTGCACCATCTTTACCTCCTGTCTCATTATGAACACACCATCCCCTCCTATTCTGCAGCTCCTTTCCTGTCCCCATTTCCTCTTTACTGGTGACTTGTGTTTTCATTGATGCTGTGAACTGGTTTTGCATTTCCAACTGAAAAGTGAATACAATGTTTGAACAAATGAATTAAAAAAAAAAAAAAGCCAGAGTTTTAGCCATTTTATTTAAAATCCCATGCAAGTCACAGAATTCCATGCATTACTTTGTGTTTTGTAATTGAATCCCACTTTGCCTCTTTGAAATTTTTGCCCTACAGCCACAGCCATCTGCTTTCTCATTCTGTCAGGGGAAGATTTATTTTGATACCATTTTTTGAAGTCTCTTAATTTTCTTTGGTGCCCGCATTGTATCAAATTAACGGACAGCGATATCTGATTAGACAGAAGTTTGCAACACTGATCAGTGTCTTTCTGACATGAACAAAAGGTGTAGTTGGGGCCCAATTAGCTTACCACCTGTTAATATTTTTACCAGATCTTGCAGCACTTTGATGAATCTCCCAATCCACTAAATGTGAGAGCAAAGTGTCATATCTGTGAGTACGAATATCACCATGATAGTCAATGCAAAAGTCTCTACAGCTGGATCAGATTGTATGGCTGCTGTTCTAAGCCGTGTAATCTAATGCCATTCCCTCTGGAGAAGGAGGGGAATTGTACCTATCGTTTCTGGAAGCCCACCTGTGAGCAACTGCCAGTGTGTAGACTTTTTCCCCTTCAATTGGCATGGGATCATGGCCAAGGCCAAGGCCAGGGGCGTGGATCTATTGTTCCAGAAGGGGGCTTAAGGGGAAATCATTATTCATTATTATTATTTATTGAATTAATATATCACCCTTTATCAAAAGATCCCAGGGCTATGTACAACATTAAAAACACATTACAAAACATCACTAATAAAAATGTGAGATGCGGGTGGTGCTGTGGTCTAAACCACTGAGCCTCTTGGGCTTGCCAATCAGATGTTCAGCAGTTCGAATCCCCACAACAGAGTGAGCTCCCATTGCTCTGTCCCAACTCCTGCCAACCTAGCAGTTCGATAGCACACCAGTACAAGTAGATAAATAGGTACCACTGTGGCAGGAAGGTAAATGGCGTTTCCATGTGCTCTGGTTTCCATCATGGTGTTCTCTTGTGCCAGAAGCAGTTTAGTCATGCTGGCCACATGACCCAGAAAATTGTCTGTGAACAAATGCCAGCTCCCTTGGCCTGAAAGTGAGATGAGTGTCGCACCCCATAGTCACCTTTGACTGGACTTAACCTTAAACTTTTTTTAAAAAATAAAATAAAAACTTAATAAAAAACATACTGACAGACAGATATGTAGTGATGTAAAGGATGCCTGAACTGTTTGTCGTGACACCTAATGAACAAAAGAGCGTTAGACGTATGTGCCCTTTCCCACAACGTGGAAAGGGATGTGCAGAAAAAGGACATCCGTGGTATTACAGATCCCGGAGCTAATTCTCTCCACATGGCTTCTAAAAGTGGGGGGTGTTATAACCCCACACTAGTCGTATACCATGCTGAGGGATAAGACAGTATGTCTCTGATTGCCACCAGCTTAGGATCATAAATGTGGAGAGTGTTGCAGCACTCGGGTCCTTCTGGTGGGCTTCGTATAAGATATCTGGTGATGCTGTGATACTAGGTGGGCTTTTGGTCTACTCTAGCATGGTTCTTCTTCTGTTCCTATGACACCTTCACACAGAGGAAAAAACCAGATTGCTGAGCCATAGATGTGTGCACTAATGATGATGATGACGACTGCTTCATTTCCCCTTACTCTTGAATTACTCTAATGGGACACGGTGTTTATTGTTTCATTCTTCATTTGCTGGTGCTTTTCTTTCTTTTTTTGTGTGGGTGGTGGAGGAGGAGACTCTGGGGAGTGTCTGCAGCAAAATGTTTGTGAATTGAAATTCCTGTTTCCTTCTTGATGCTTTCGTTTCCATTTTCTTGGCTAGTGTTTCAGTTCTCAGTAGAATGCAGTTATGGCATGTGCCAAACACATGAACTGGCTCAATAGACAATGGAATCCATGTGTGGTGGAATCACAACTGAAGTGTAATTATAGACTTAAATCAAGGGGTGTTAGAGCCACAATGTATATAGCCTAAGCTATAAATGCAACATAAAGTGGAGAGTTTTAAAGAAATCTACAACTATGGGAAAGACACCAGCTTCCTCATTACTCAGCAACACTACCCAGCTCAGTTTTGATTATCTCTCACAATTGTGGGTGAGTTAGAAAAGTGTAATCTGATTGCCGATGAGCTTTCAAAAGAGATGGGTTTTCCCAAAAAAGATAAACTGGTCAAGGTTCAGCAGCACCTTATACAGTCATACCTCGGGTTACAGACGCTTCAGGTTGCACATTTTTGGGTTGTGCACAGCGCCGAACCTGGAAGTACCGGAACATGTTACTTCCAGGTTTCGGCACTCGTGCGTGCACAGAAGCACTAAATCACACTTTGCGCATGCACCTGAAGTGCCAAATCATGACCCATGCGTGCGCACACGCAGCGCTGCAGGTTGTGAACGCTGCGGGTTGCGAACGTGCCTCCCTTACGGATCACGTTTGCTACCCGAACGTCCACTGTAATTACAAATACCAGAATAGTAGGGGTGGATTGATATTTCATTGCAGCACACCTATGTTTGTGCATAAAACATGCATCAAACATCATAACTGGAGGGTGGAGTCAAAGGAGAGATTGGCCATTGTTTCTAATGGGGCAAAGTATGACTATGGAGAAAGGGGAATTCAGAATAATGTCAAATGTGTAACACTCTTTGTGGAGAGTCCCTTGCCCCAGACAGGCCAACGATTAAGTTCACCAAGAAGAAGAAGACATAATTGAAGTTAGTTTTGGAAGACACAGAGTCTGTAGCCTTTCTTTTCTCTTTCAGCCTAAACACCACTCTGCCCCTGAAGTCTTTGCTCATACTTCATCTCCATCTTCCTGCATGGAGTGACACACTCTGAAGGGAGCTTCTACATGCGCTCAGCTGAAGATGCTTAGAAGCTTCCTTGAACTCAGCAAGTCTGCTGGCACAGACTTTTGCACAAAATACACAGAGATGAGGAGAGGAGGAGGTGAGGCCGAAGTTCATGGAAATGTTTGGGGGTGGAGACAGAACAGAAAGCCATGGCTCTCTGGCACACTTTTTACCCTCATGGTTTTCAGGCTGAACCTCTGAGGGGAGCTCATTGGATGATGTATTCTCACCATTTTGAAAGCCTTATCTGGAATGCCATTTTTTTATATCACTGTTGGTTTTGATCACCTTCCCATCTCCAGAGATGGGAAATGAAGTTAGTTGTACCAATACCACAGCTGGGTATACAGTGATCAATATACGTTGCATTCCGTTCCTAACCCTTTTTCATTCTGTCAATGTGTCTCAGGCAGGAAAAAGCAAATTAAACAATGACAATAGCAGCTGTGCTTCATCCTCACATGGTCCAAATTTGATTTCATTTTTTTTTCACCTTCAAAAACTTTTTTATTAAAAGAACACTACAAAGAGTATGATCTTGGTAGAAAGTTAATATTCCCATGGGGTATAAGGAAACATCCCCTGGACATTTCTTACTAAAGTCAATTTATTGTAATAGAGTTCAAAAACTAGAAGCAATGTGTGTTCCCTCCAAACGCCAATATTAAAGTTCTCATTAACTCTCGTCTAGAGAGGTGGAAAGTTGCTTTTAAAAAAATAATGAACCCCAAACCTTACAATATTCTTTCATGGCTTTTACATTCATTTTTTATAAATATATTGTCAGGGAACTGACATCGGAGCCTGAGGCGGAGGGAAGGCTCTCAAATGATGCTGGAGAAGGGCCAAGCAGGGAGAGAGGCAGCTCAGCAGATGAGGAAGCAATTCAGTGCAACACCAGGAATAAGGAGGGGCAGATGGGGGAATCGGCGAGAGGGCTCCCAGACTCTTCACCGGATACCAGCGGGGAGAGCACGGGTCCTCCGCTACCCACGCCCTCCCTGCGCAGAAGACTTCCGCGCAGAGAGAGTAGGAGGAGACTGGGCGTCAAACAACTTTTATGTTGGAAGAGGTTTAAGAAACGCCCACTGTTGGATTCTGCTAGCGACTGAGGCAGCCACGAATTGAAGGGCAACATAGCCAGGAGAGGCGGCAACTTACGCACGGGCAACCCCATACCCATTATATATATTTTTCTGCCTTTTTACAATTCCACATATTTATAATCAATTCTTTCTCTGAAAGCCACTTACACCACTTTCACTCCCCCCCCCTCAAATCTGTGACTTCTTAAATGGCAGACATGAGGAGGATGCAACAGGCACATGCCCTTCGACTCAGACTTATGGGGCCAGGGCCAGATTTAGGTTTGATGAGGCCCTAATCTACTGTAGGTAATGGGGCCCTTTATATGTCCAGCTGTCCTTTGTCAACAACAAATTGTCACTGTTTTTTGTTGAATATTTTAGGGAGCAGGCTAGCGGATGGGGCCCATTACTTACATCGTAGGAGCCTACAAAACACAAAACACTGTTGCTGTATGTAGGTTTTATTTTATTTGTTTTTTTATCTTGTATTTTGGAAATGTACATCCAGGTGTGCTTTTTTTCCTTTAATTTTTTTGGGGGGCCCCCAAGAGAGTAGGGCCCTAAGTTATAGCTTGCTTAGCTTATGTGTAAATCCGGCACATGACTGCCCTGCTGTGTCTTCCTCACGTTGCCATCTGCATCCATCTTCCTGGGTGCTGGGAAAATACGCTCCACCGCTGGCAACCCCCTCCAAAACAACAACAACAACACCCATCTGTCATCTCTGATTGGGGTTCAGCCAGGAATCAGGGTCTTGTCCAAAGATATAAGCACAGTATGTCTTCTCAAACTTCTCAAGCATTATTCAGTATTTACCATATTTTTTGCACCATAAGACGCACCAGACCATAAGACGCACCTAGTTTTTAGAGGGGGGAATGCAAGAAAAAAAGTATTATTTAAAGGGAGCGCTGAGCAGAGCCTGTATGCATCCCAGTCTCTGCTCAGCGCTCCCTTTCACGAGCCGCAAGGAGCATGTGTGTGGCTCTTGCAGGCTTTTCCCCAAGGAGGGCTGCCCTTCTCCCTCCTCGGGGAAAAGCCCCCAAAAGCTGCACACACACTCCACACGGCTCTTGCGGGCTTTTCCGGGAGGTGGGGGAAGGGACTGAGGGGCTGCCCTCTGTCCCTTCCCCCACCTCCTGCAAAAGCCAGGGATAGCCCCGTGAAGCCTCCTCAGGGCAGCGGGATGAAAGCTCCCCGTGCCCTGAAGAGGCTTCGCACGGCTAAGCCAGAAGCTAGAACAGCTGCACAGCGATCCCTCTCGCTGTTCTGGCTTCTGGGATAGCCACGCAGCCTGCATTCACTCCATAAGACACACACACACATTTCCCTTTACTTTTTAGGAGGGAAAAAGTGTGTCTTATAGAGCGAAAAATACGGTACACAGAAGTGCTAGGTCATCTCATTTCCACACACACACACCTATCCATGAGGCAAACAGGGCTCATTATTAATGTTGGGAGGTTTTTTTTACACAACTTGGCCTGCAGAGTGGGTGACAATTTTAATTTTACACTTTCCCCAATAGTCCTGTGAGGTAGGTCACTGACGTTGAGAGGTAGGTCACTGACGTTGAGAGTTGCCTAAGGCTATCGGGTAATTTCGTGAATGACTATGCACAGATAATATAATCACACTGTGCTTTAATGTATACCTGGGCCTGTGTGAAAATGTGGAGGTTTCAGCATTTATAACAAGAAAATGATAAGCATTAAAGCTAAAATCATTATTCACGGTGAACACTGATGAATTTCACAGATTAATGTTGTGAGGATTCAGATAAGGTAAATGAATGCAGCGAGACCACAGAATGTTAGGTTCTTCAGGCACGGAGGTTGATTATAACTCTGAAATGTGCATAAGTTTAACGGGAAAAGTTTTCACCTCCAAATCTCTTGCCATTCCTCATCCCCATTTTCAGTTTGAACACATGCAGTAGCTTCCAGGGCTACAGGATGGAATCCTTCTCAGCCCTAACTGGTCCTGTGAGGAACTGAACCTCGGAACCTCCTGAAGGAAACCCATTTTGATATGGCTTGTGCAAATTACTAAGTTCCCATTAAAGCTTGCCAAAAAAATTAAATTTGAATGGACTTGATTGATGAAAGCCAATATTTGTTACGTAAAACTGAAAACAGAAACCTGAAATATTAACAGCATAATGGGACGATCCGAAACTATAGATCGTAACACCCTCTAATGCATCTACGGAGATATTGTTTTTGATAACACAACCGACAGGTCCTTGTTTAAACTATTGCCATTATTACATTAAAGGAAGATTTGGTAATGACACCAAACAGTATTTTAAAGCCAACATTTTTGTTTCCCAGCTCTCTCATATAAAATTGTAATCAGTTTCATTCCTGTGGAGCTCATCTCGAGAGCTGCAGGCACTTTTTCTCATCAGAGTTTAAAATGTATTTTGGTGGTCTGCTAAAGAAAAATGCAAAGATAGGAAAAAACAGTCCTGCTGATCTAATTATTTCTTGGATTTTTTATTCTCAGAAAGAGGTCAGCTTTTGCATTCTTGCTGGGGAAGGCTGAATACACATCTTTCTGACCATGATGTGTACATATAAATTGGAATAAAATGAGGTTTTTATTATCCTTTCTAGAGTATGAGGGAAGACTTCTAATGTCAGAGAAAGAAGCTATTTCTGCCAACATGTTTTCCTCATGTTGCCCTTCCTTTAGCATACTGTAAAATACTGTAAAATAGGGGTTAAGATCAGTAAGAGCTTGTTGTTGCTGTTCTTGCTGTTATATAATAATAACCTAATAATTGTTTTAAATGAAGGGATTGGTCTCACAATAGTCTCCCCCCTTGTGGAATGATAATTCATGGTTCATACTCCCAGTTTACATCAGTGTAAATTATGGAACGTAAACTGACTGTAGTGAATTACTACACACGATCGAATTCAATGTTACTCACAGCAAACCAAGGTAACTATAGTGAGAGTAAAGAAAGGGACAGAAGTTCACTGAATGGTACTTAAACAATGCAATTACATTTGCAAAGAGTATCAAATATGGCTAAAAATGGGAGGTGCTTTTAACATTCACAACACTGGACATAAAAGTATGCAGTTTTGGTTCAATCCTAATCTCACATCATGTTTCGAGGAAGCTATTCACAAGTTCACACAGTGGAATTCACAAAATGCAGTAGCATATGAACTCCAGGTAACCAATACCTACGGCATAATAAGCATAATGATTAATCCTGCCCTTATGTTGTGAACTCACAGGAAAAGCTCATTCTTCCCCACGCTGTCCAATTGCTGATGCTTCAAATTTCCTTTACAGACTCTCTGTTGCTGTTTATTCAAATCACAACCAAAGTGGTGATAGGAACTATCTTTCACAAACTGCAATTTCACACCCATGTAATTTCAAAGGAGCATGGAATTGGGGGGGGGGGGGGTTTGAATCCCTGACTGAGAAATGTATAGCCTATACCACAATCACTGAAATTGTATCCTTCAAAGTCTGAGCCAATTTCCAAGAATACAGGCATAGCCTTAACATGTTGGGAAACGAGTTTTTGACTTAGTATATAATAAGAAGATCTTCTCAGCACTGATAGCTAGTGACATTCAAATATAGTACTCAGCTCTTAGTGTCGAGCTGGGCATTTCTTATGCCTTTCTCTTTTTTACCTCGGTTAACTTATTTTGAGCTTCACATATATTGGATTCATTTTAACTCCAATAGTCAGGTAGGAAAACCATGTACTTGTATATGTTTATGTTGGTGCTTTCTCCAATGTTAAATTCCACAAACACATCATTATTTGAAAAACAGAGTTCATCTTATCCTTGGAGTTCTCAGCTAGCCAAACAATCTTGGCCATGATAATACAAGGTGTGACTGGAAAATTCAGTGAACGGTCACAGAAATTGGACAGCGAGAAATATTTGAATGTACATGCCTCACAGGTCTTCAAAGTAGGCCTCCTCTGATACAATGCACCGTTGACAACATTCATAGAACTGTTGGAAACTTCTGGAGAAGTCCTCTTTTCGTACTGCTTTCAGTTCCCTCGTCACAGCAGCTTGGACTTGTGAAATGTTGGAAAATCTGTGCCCTTTCAGTGCAGATTTCAGTTTTGGAAAAACCAAGAAATCCAGTTGGGCCAGATCGGGAGAATATGGAGGGTGGGAAAACTCAGTAACCTCAGTAATGATTTCACGCAAAATATGCAATTCTTCCGCCATCATTTGAACGGACAAACGCTGATCCCACATCAACAGCTCACACGAAATCTGTCGACATTTGCTGCCGTTTTGCTCATCGACGGTCTGCCAGACTGAGGGTCATCTTTGATGGTTTGCCACCCTTCACAAAAATGCTTAAATTGTTCATACACTGTCTTTCGAGTTACAAAGTTGTGAGCATTTTGTAGGTTTCCAATGCCGATTGTATGTTCAAATATTTCTCGCTGTCCGATTTCTGTGACCATTCACCGAACTTTCCGGTCACACCTTGTATTCCAAAGGGCTGGCTCACATGTTAGTTTCTTAATGACGTATCAGTTCATTGCTTTTCTCAGATGATTT